CGTTTTTTTTTCAATAAGACACTCTCTGGTCCGCCTCTATGTTTGTTGGAAAGCGACGACGCGCTCTCTCATGGCGTTTGAAACCCACGCGCCGTCGTGTCTTTGTGTGTGCATCGCTGTTGTGGGTCCCGTATTACTCCTCCTGGGGCTAGATGGACCTTTCTTGTTTTAATGATCTAATCAATTCTAATTATGATTCTTTAACGACCGTTGAGAGAGGCTCTCTGATTAGTTTTTAAATTAAAAAACAAAGAATATTAGGTTTACGTGTTTATCTAATCATCTTAATCTTTCTTTAAGACATTTCTTTTCTTTTTTTAGTTTTTAAGTGTAATGTTGATTTTTCTCTCTTGTGTGGGTCATGTCCTTTTTTGCTTGTTGATGAGAAAGTTTGTGTTTTAATATTATGGATAGGTATATTTTAATAGCCACCAAATTAGATAGCCGTTAAAACAAAAAGCCACCCATTTACAATACATTTTTAAAGAAAGTATATATATAGTAAAATAGCAGATGTATTTGTCATTTTTTAGATGGCCAAGGTTTTTTAAAAACCAAAATAACATGGTAATAAATAGGTAAATAGACTTTTTCGCATGTAATTTAACACAAAAACGTGATATGAGACAATGTTTTCATATGTTATTCATTGAGTAATCATCACTATGCAATCCATATTCACTTCGTCATATCCATAAAGAAATCCAGCAATCAATGTGCTTGGAAGAGACATATTTCCTAAGCCCTCCACTAAGTTCCTAGAAATGATAAAACATTGGTATGTTGCTGGTAGCTTTGACACAATATATACCATGATCGTCATCCTCTTCTTGTATTTCGGTTGGATGATGTGAAGGGTCTAGGTTTTCTTTTGGTTCTTCGGTCTCTAACTTCTATGTCATTTGCTCTAAATGTCTAGCCCCTCTGAAGTTATAGTTCCACCCTATGTCTATCGGCACTTGAGTGTACTAACATTCAGCATCTGAACCTTATAATTTTTTTTTTCATCTTAACATAACCTTATAATCTAGCAGAGATGTTTCTTACCATAAAGTGACCTTCCTTATATGAGGTGATTGTGTAAGCTACTTTGTGACAGAACTGAGTGGAAATTTTTTCAATGTCGATGGTGGATAAGTGTTTCTCTTTGTTGGCTCTGGCCCACTCAGTAGCTTCTTTTGTCAGCTGAAACAGTTGGAGACGAGTCCTCTTGATTTATTGTAGCAACTACTACTTTCTCATTTAAATTCTGAGTAGTGTGGAAGAGTAGCCAAGTGGCATGAGAATCTCGATGTCTTCAGCTCCTGTAGTCCGGATGTAGCCGAGACACTTCAAAAAATATGAGACTTTGTTCTTCATGTATGGCAGAGACGTGCACCTCATGATGTGTTCCCTATTGGGTAACCATCACAATGCGATCAATATTCACCTAGTCATAACCGTAGAGAAGTCCAAAGTCTATACTAAATTCTTAGAAATGAGAAATTGTTGCTCTTCTTTTGGAAACGAGAGATGAGTTGTGGGCAACATAGTCACAGAAACTGCAAAACTATGAAAAGTTTCAATAATGCGATAAAAAGTTTTAAAAAATTATTATGAAAGATATGTACTATTAAATAAAATAACAAAATATTTTGTTACATACACGAAAACACTTTGTTTTTCTTAAATCGAGATAAATAAAAGGATCAATTGGTGATATAACCAAAAAAAAATATTATCTAATAATCTAACTAAAAACTTTAATTTTTGTGATTATGATTTGGCCACATAGGTGCATTTTTGTTAGATTATTAGATATAGTTTTTTTTATAGTCATCTATGCTAATTTCCCTAAATAAAACAACTTATATACGGTTTTATCATCCATCGTTTTCGCAAATAAAATGATAAAATTTGGCTATCTAGTGCATTCTCCTTTAGATATATTACTTCATCAAATGATTTACCTCGGTGCATTTTTTATTTGATCAAAATATTTTTGAGTATGGTAAGCATAGACAAAAGAATGCGGTTCCTACTTGTTTGCATATATAGTGAACAAAGAGAATTATTTGTTGAATACGAAAGAAGCACAATTATTGGTAAAGGAATTGGATTTATATATTGAACACGCATGTATTGATTCTATTATCAATCCTACGTTTCTTATCCATGGAATCTAACTTTGGTAGGTTCAGAAAAAGAGACTTAAGTAATTGTTTTTTATGAAATAAAGAAGAATTTTATGTTGATTAAATGGATAGTTGGAACTTACCAAACTTTCTTTTAAATCTTGATAATCATCAATGTATTGTCCAAGTACGTGATAAAGATGATGGGTCGAATAGTTGACTTGAACGGTTATAACATTTCAACATTTCAAAAATTACATTTCAAAAACAAATTTCAAAATTACCTATTTAAAAATGACTACTGTTTCTTGTTTTTTACACATGGTTGATTGGTTCACCCGTTACCACTCACAAATGCTGTGTTTGGGGGTGATAGCGGTTGTTGGCGTTTGACAATAATCATGGGAAACGCCTTATACACTCCAAACCTCTCAAATCCAAAAAGCTACTTCCCTCGA